GAAAATTACAGATGCAGGCATAAATACACTGACACATGAAGAGAAGGGAGTTATCTTACAAGTGGAAAACCAGTGTTGACAAGGCCAATTCAAGCAGGGTGGATGTGGTCCACTCCCAATAATTGATGAGGGACTTACCAAGAGAGGGGAAATTGCTTTTGTAGTAAGCCAGCACTCCCAGTCCCTATTCAAGCCCAAATTAATGGTGTTAAATTTGCAAATGAATTGTAGCTCTGCATTTTCTCTTTGAAGTCTATTTTTGAAGATTTTTTTGTTGAAGAATGACTACTTTTAAATCTGTTATTGAATGTCCAGGGAGATTGAAGTGTTCTCCTACTGGCTTTTGTATGTTACCAATCCTGATGTCTCATTTGTGTCCATTTATTATTTTACATAGAGACTGTCTAGTTTGGCCAATGCACATGGCAGAGGGGCATTGCTGGCACATGATGGCATATATCACATTAGTAGATGTGCAGGTGAATGAACCTCTGATGATGTGGCTCATGTGATTGGGTTCTTTGATGGTGTCACTAGAGTAGATATGGGAACAGAGTAGGCAATGGGATTTGTTACAGGGATTGGTTCCTGGGTTAGTGTTTCTGTGGTATGTAGTTGCTGGTGAGTATTTGCTTCAGGTTGGGGGGCTGTCTATATGTGAGGACTGGCCTGCCTCCCAAGGTCTGTGAAAGTAAGGGGTTGTTTTCCAGGATAGGTTGTAGATCGTTGATGATGTGCTGGAGAAGTTTTAGCTGTGGGCTGTACGTGCCAGTGGTGTTCTGTTATTTTCCTTGTTGGGCCCGTCCTGTAGTAAGTGACATCTGGGTACTCGTCTCACTATGTCAATCTGTTTCCTCACTTCCCCAGGTGGGTATTGTAGTTTTAAGAATGCTTGATAAAGGTACTGTACATGTTAGTCTCTCTCTGAGGGATTGGAGCAAATTTGGTTGTATCTTAGGGCTTGGCTGTAGACAATGGATCGTGTGATGTGTCCTGGATGGAAGCTGGAGGCATGTAGGTAAGTATAGCAGTAAGTAGGTTTCTGGTATAAGGTGGTGTTTATGTGGCCATCACTTATTTGCACTGTAGAGTCCAGGAAGTGGATCTGTTGTGTGGACTGGTCCAGGCTGAGGTTGATGGTGGTGTGGAAATTGTTGAAATCTAGGTGGAATTCTTCAAGGGCCTCCTTCCCATGGGTCCATATGATGAAGATGTCATCAATGTAACGCAAGTAGAGGAGGGGCGCTGGGGGATGAAAGCTGAGGAAGTGTTGTTCTAAGTCAGCCATAAGAATGTTGGCATACTATGGGGCCATGTGGGTAACCATAGCAGTGCCGCTGAAGTTCTAATTTGTCCCCAAATCTGAAATCGTTGTGGGAGAGGACAAAGAGGACACTTGATGAGACCAGGTGTGTCGTAGCCTCATCAGGGATACTGTTCCTGAAAGCTTGTAGTCCATCCTCGTGTGGACATTCAATAACAGATTTAAAAGTAGCCATCCTTCAACAAAAAGCCTCCAAAAACAGACTTCAAAGAGAAACTGGAGAGCTACAATTCATTTGCAAATTTAACACCATTATTTTGGCTTGAATAGGGACTGGGAGTGGCTGGCTCACTACAAAAGCAGTTTTCCCCTCTCTTGGTATTGACACCTCCTCATCAATTATTGGGAGTGGACCACATCCACCCTGATTGAATTGGCCCTGTCAACACTGGTTCTCCACTTGTAAGGTAACTGCCTTCTCTGCATATGTCAGTATATTTATGCCTGTATCTGTAATTGTCACTCTATGCATCTGAAGAAGTGGGGTTTTTACCCACAAAAACTTATGCCCAAATAAACCTGTTAGTCTTTTAGGTTGTTTTTGTGGATGCAGACTAACACGGCTACCCTCTGATACTTGGCAACATGGTATTCTTGGAAATTAGATGTGATGGGTACAGATGATAAAAATATTTTCAGATTTTAAAAAAGGCAGAAAAAAATCTCTTGTAGAATTTATCCCTTTTTCTGGTTGTTGCTAAACTATTCATTGCCAGGGATGACTTTTGTCCTTGGTTCATAAAGATATTCTGAAGAAAATTTTATTTTTTTAATTAACCGGATTGCACTAAATAATGGGTATTTTCATCCAAAGAGCAGGTAACACACATATTTCAAAAATCTCTCTCCCCTAATAATAAATTGTCCAGTTTGTGTCGTAGAGTGGGAAAGATTATCTGACTTTTTTATTGCCATATATTATATTATTCTCAGTATGAGTTTTTAAAGGGTGTATGTGTGGAATCCTGACATCCATCAAATCATGAAATTTTACATGGATTAAGAAACATCTATTTTACATTTCATTCTTTTTAAAAATCGGATTACACATGTTCAATATAGTTCTTTTTTTCCTGTGAACTGTGAGAGGAAAGTGAATCTGTCCCTTATGTTTAATTCTTTTGCTGGGTTCGACATATGGGAAAATGCTACTATAGCCTATTTTCTTCTGTTTAATTACAGATCCTGTATCTCCTCTCCATTTAATTGACATTTCAGAGATGTTCTGCCTTTTGTTTCAGGAGAAATCATGTTCTTATTGGGAAAATTGATCTTTTGAGGCTTGAGTATTGAAAACCGTAGTGTTTCAAGACAGTTAAACATAACAGTTTTATTGATAAATGTCTGTCAGATCAGTTTTGTGGAAAATTAAATTGTGCATATTGAATCAGACACAGTTTGGACTTCATTACAACCACAGTCAATCTTTCTTCCCAAGAACAAAAATCTACCTGTTGTCCATGGATTGTGATCTACAATATTTAAGTATCCCATACAATTTTTAGGTAATCTTAAAGGAAGACTAAGGTTTTATAGCTCCAGTTTTTTAAGTAGATGGTGATAGTCCTCTGGATTCTAAATATTTTTGTTTTGTTTTGTTAAATCTTCATTTCCAGTCCGTTAATTGAAAAAATGAAAAGTCATGACTCTTTACATAGGATGAAAAGTACAATTTTTATGTTCCCTTTGCTAGCGCTGGATTTGCAGTTAACCTGCACTATGTTCAGAGCTATGATTACATCAGATATGCTAGTACACAAAAGCAAGAGTTTTTGGCTTGACAAGGTACTATATAATGTGGAATTGTTATTAAATCCAAACCCCATGTTAATTTTATCTTCCTTTAAAATGCAGAGAAAAATATAAAAGGGAATATGATAAAGGGAAAAATATATTCCAGCAACTAAGAAATTATGACAATGGAGAATAAAAGGCAAATAAAATCAATGAAATCAATTATGCTCTTTGAATACCAATAATAACAACTCACTGTTGTAAATTGAAAAAGAGTCTCAGACTCTGGGCTGTGATGCAGTCATTTTTCATATTATCATTGGCCCTAATTACACAAGGCATTCTGACTTGGGTGCCTGGAAAAATAATTCCCTCCTATTGTTGTGGGTTTGCTATTTAGAGCCCATTAGAGAAAGACCTTGTCTTGCTCAGAGGACAAATGATTTTTCTTACCTATAAATGATATTTCACAGATGGACAAGGTCAGTTTCTAATGACCCTTGTTCTTTGATGGTTATATCTTATTAATGTTTTAATACACAGCTTGTGTTTTCTTATCACTGTTCTACTGTTGAACTGTCTCTCTTCTTTATTAAATGTAATTTTCCTGTATTGTGTTTTCTTCACTCTTTCAATAACATTTTGATCTATTTCCTCTGATCCAAATGGAGGGCTTATTTTCTTAGTTGCTCTTCTTAACCTTTTTCATTCCAGCCAGGGCTTCACTTCCCCCAGCTTGTAAATATTTTATCTTTAGTACAATGGTGTCCATGGCTTGTATGCAAACAAGGAAACTAGAGAGCTCACTTAAATTGGTACTAGTAGCTCCTTTAGTGTAGTTTCTTATGCCTGTTCAAGTGGGATGGGAGAAAATACCCATCAAATTAGAAAGTGATCTGATCCATCACAGAATTATCACTTCCATCCCGGGAAAATGGTATATATTAGTTTCTGCTGAGATATATAAACAATCACGAATATTAAGAGAATCATGCCATCCACTGGATAGATGACAAAAACCTGCTTAGTGTAAATTTATTAGTACTTTCTAGCCAGGAACAGAAATTAAACTAGCAAATGAAAATCAGAACCTGTTTGACCCTGGACCCCTCCAACTCAGAACATTTATTATGTGCTAATCGTTTGCTGAGGAATCTACACTTGTCTTTGATTATAATGTGTGTGTGAGAGAATATCCTTTTGTTAGGTCTTTTGCATTTAGGATTTAAATGTGTAAAAAACTAACATTTATAGAGGATGCTTAGTTTTAATGCACCAGATTTATTAGTTTTTTGCTCTACTTTACAGCTTTTTAATCGAATACAAAGTGCCTAAAGTAGATGTGTACATTACAGTCACGCAGAACAATAAATGATGAACAAGTATCAGAGGGGTAGCCATGTTAGTCGGTTTCCACAAAAACATTTTTAAGAAATGATTAAAGTAATTGTAGATCCCTTTCAGTTCAATATTTTTAATATATTTGGTGAGATTTACAACACTGTATGTGCAAACAAGGTTGGCTTTATACTTGTGAGGTCTCAAACTGCTGGAAGGGAGGCAATTGGGCCAGGAGTTACAGTTTTGTCTATTTCACCTGCCATAGAGAGGATGTTATGCTGAGAATGGAGGTATCAACAAGTAGGGCCTCAACTAGTTGTTCGTTCTAGTTGTGCTGAAGGCTGGTTGTGACCATGAGAAACATGCACATACTTGCTTTTTGTTTTCAAACATCTTTTTTAGAAAAAAATCAGAGGGTTCAGTTGTATATAGTTTCCTGTAATAACCTTTGCAGAGATTACTGACAGCACTTCAGATACAAAACAATGTTCTAGACTTGGCATTAAAATATGTAAAAATATTACTTTCATCCATTTTCAATTAAAATCATTATAATGCAGACTTTTTACATGTTTATATTTCTTTTTTCTTTTGTTTTTAGCTGATGATGCAAATGTGAAGAATGAAAGCCTTTCATCTGTGCAGCAGCTTGGCATTAAAATGACAGTCAGGTACATTGTATTAAAATATTTCCCTTGTGTATTTCTAGAGTTTGTTTGATTTCTTTGCAATGACTTTAATGATATTTAATCCATCAACTCAACGTTTTGTACCATTTAAATCTAAAGATCATTTTTGAGCGAATGAATTCTTATTTTAAAGATGAAAAAGGTATTAGTACATGATTAAATTATCTGCAACAAATTAAATAGGTTACTATTCATTATTGTCCTAAGGGCTAATTGCAACTTGTTTAGCAAGATTTACAGCTAAAATTACATTATAGAATCATAGAAATATAGGGCTGGAGTGGACCTCGAGAGGTCATATAGTCCATTCCCCTGCTCTGAGGCAGGACAAAGAATGTCTCTGACAGATGCTTGTCTAACCTGTTCTTAAAAACCTCCAACAATGGAGATTCCACAGCCTCCCTTAGAAGCCTATTCCATACAGGGCTTTGGAGCTGTGCTCCAGCTCCTCTCCAGCTCCAGGCAAAAACCTGCAGCTCCACTGCTCTGGAGCTGCTCCAGGCTCCACTCCAAAGCCCTGTATTCCAATGCTTAACTATCCTTCTATTAGAAATATTTTCCTAATATCTAACCTAAATCTCCCTTGCTGCAGATTAAGCAGATTATTTCTTTACCAAATTTCTACACCACTTTCTATAGGAATTTCAGACCCTGACCTTGCAAAGGATCACATCCATGCTTAACTTTAAACACGTGTAATCCTATTAAAGTCAATAGGACAGCTCATGTGAGCAAGGTTGCATAAGTGTGTGAAGGTTTGAGGCCTAAATTTCCAAATGATCTTAAAGAATTGCCTCATCTGTAGACTTTGCAATAGTCTTATCTTGAAATCACAAAGAAATGGATAATGGAAGCAAGGTCTGTGTCTGAAACAAATGGTTGAGGCCTTCTAGCACAGTGCAGATTAAAAAAAAAACAAACAGTTTTGTCCACTGCTGGAATCTGAATGTCCAGGGACAGCTGTGGATATAATAAGACTCCTATGATAGGTTGCAAACCTTAGGCCTGGTCTACACTACAGGGATGGGGTGGGGTGGGGGATGTCCAATCTAAGTTACACAACTACGTGAATAACATAGCTGAAATCAACGTACTTAGATATACTTACCATGGTGTCTTCACTGCAGAAAGTTGATGGCTGCGCCTCTCGCCTTGATGGAGTACCAGAGTCGATGGGAGAGCGCTTGGCGGTCGATTTATCGCATGTAGACTAGACGCGATAAATCGACCCCCGCTGGATCGATCCCTGCCCGTCGATCCAGCGGGTAATGTAGATAAGCCCTTAGTAAGGAATGTCTGCTGTGCTCCTTCAATAAAATCTAGATCAGTTCACCAGTTGCTTCCCGAACTGTCACCAGATTGAGTCCCCTGTCCGAACCACAGTATACACTTTATGACATATAGGGCTCTGAGTTCTTAACTTTTCATAAATTCTAGAACTATATTAAATGCATCCAGGAAAATGTGTTCTTGTTTTTAAAGAATAGACATTTTATGCTTTACTTTTATTTAAACTTAAATGTCTAAGTTTGTTTAAACTTTATTTTATTAGGTATGGTAAATATTTAAATTTGCTGAAAGATGGTGCTGAAAATGATCTGTGCCTGGTGTTAATGCACTGTGACAAATTTCTGAAACAACAGCAAACATCTGTACAGTCCTCACTTCGTATCCTTTTTTGATGACACAAATTAGATTGACCAAGACATTAGTGACAGTTGAACTGTCAAATACATTTTTCATTTATCGTGTTCTTTGAATTCCTGGTGGTGGTGCAGACTACATAGTATTTTTCATTACATTTTGTACACACACAACAGAAAAATCCATTATTATGAAACCTTTCTATCACTAAAATGTGAACTTGACAGAATAACTGTATGATCTTTGACTGTAATCTTCATCCTTCCCTTTCATTTAATTATTAAACTTGTTTGCATGTCTTGTCTGGTTTTGATTTTAAGTTCTTCGGGGCAGAATCATGTTTTTAAATATGCTTGTACAGTGCCCAGAGCAATTAGCTCTGATCCTCATTAGGTCTGCTAGTTTCTTCTGTAATATTGATGATAATATTACTAATATTGAACATTTAGTCATCTGTAATTATAATTTGATTTGTACTAAGGTTTTGATCTCATATTTTTTCATATAATTGTGAATTTTACTTGTTTGTATAAAAGAAACACAAAACAAAAAAATGCTTTGACAGGCTCTCTTACCTAGTAATGTGTTTGATTTATTATTTTATAAAATATTTAAGGACGCTGGCAAAATATACTTCATTTTTAAAGCCTTTCAATTTTTTATGTTTACTATTGTTTTATATCTCCTTGGAAGTTTGGAAGCTGCAACCTGTTTTCTTACTGAAATGTTTTTTTCCACCCTCCCCTTTATTGCATGCATACACTTGTTTAGTGTTATAAAAGTACTTATGGGTGTTGGGCTACTGGCGTTACCTTAAAATAAGCATACAAGAACCTAGGTTTGTGTGTTTTTGTTTTTTCAAGGGTCATGGAAGAATTATGTGGACTTTGCGGAGATGAAAATTAGATAGTTCAAAGTCTAGGGGCCTAATTTATCCCAGTGAATTTTACTCCAGTTTTATGTTGATTTAACTTTAATGGACTTTTTATGTTGAAGAAACCATCTTCAGTGTAGCTACTCTGGTGCAACTCTGGAGCTGCTGCAGTAAGACCCTAGGTCTACACATCTTGACATTGTTCTGTTTGAATTGTTATATTAACTTTCAGAATCCCATTTTTTTTACAGTACCTGATTTGTTGTGATTCACAATCTATTTTAATTTTTTTTAATTTAGCTGATTATTTTATATGCCAGCAATAGTTGGTTGTTTGTCAGAGTTCCTTAACGTTCTCCTACAGGTTGTCTGCAGGAAGGTTATGCTGGCTATGACTGGTTTGCATCATCTGTATTTCTGATAATGTCAGGAGAGAGAGAGAAAACATTAACATTTCTTCAGCAATTTTCCAGTCTTCTCATCTCAGCATTTCTCTGGCTGCGAAGACTGCATGTTTCTGTAAGACTTTAAAAGCTTTTCTTTTTAAAGGTGGCTTTGACATTTTTAAAAGGAATGTTTATCAGTTTCACTGAGTTGTTGTTTCACTTTTCATTAACATTCACTAAATGAATGCTTGTCCCTTAAAAATTCTCTCAGAAAAATATAGATTTGACATTTGTTCAAATGGTTGTTTAAAGGCAGTGAAATAACGGGTAGACTAATGGTAATTGCAGTGTTATTGAATGTTAAAGTTGGCAGTAAAATAAACTTTATTAGTTGTGTTAAATTCTTTGTGTAGGGAGAAGGTACTATTGAGCGGCCTTTTTTATTATTATTACACTGTGCAAATTCATTGTTTTGATTATTAGCTTTGTTGTATTATAAGATCAATAAACACCACAAAATATCAGAGTTGTACAGAAAAATACTAAAATGCTTTTAGTAATTAGAAACTTCCGTACTGACCAAGTACTAAATGATTCCATATTTCAAATGGCTGGTATTTAAATTAAGCTAGTTACACAAGTTCCATAATTTTCATCCTTCGTTAAATATGGTGTCATCTATTTAAAAAAATCTTTTTTGTTTGGTTAGGTATTGTACATTGTCAGGTTCTGTAACTGGTGTAAATTAAACTATCAGCTATAGTCAGTCACTAGAAAATTGTGGGTTTATTAGATGATTCTCTAGCTCTTTTTCAAGAGAGTGTTTGTATATTCCCACTTGTAGTACATACCATATGAACAGCACCTGGTCCAGTTCTGTGGCTGTTCCAGCACTGAGAAGGTTGGCTTCATTTTGTGAGTCTTGTCTGTGCTGATCATCCTCCGTACTGAGGAGTTTGGTATCTTCATAGCTATATTAACAAGCGTGGAACATCCAGGCAAAAGTATAACGCAGTTTTAGGCTAAAGATCCCCACATTAAATGTTAATTAGCTCCAACAAAACATTAACATGTACAATCCAGAACCCAGCTCTACCTCCTTCTTGCCCCAAACAGAAATCTTAATCTTTCCCATTATGTAACTCTCAATCCCAACTGAGGTGTCACCTATATGGAGTGGGAGATTGTAGTATACATGCAACCTCCTGTGAGCCAAGACCCAGAGGCGGAAGAAGGAAAAGTTCAAAGGAATGCATATCTTCCCCAAGCCAAAACCACATTACTTACAAACCACACATCCATCTACCCAGAACATTCCACACTGGTAACCTCTCATTCCCTTCTCCCATTCAAAGAGAACTTCACTCCTACCCTCCATATATATTCTCCTCCACATACACACACCACACCTGGGCAAATCATGACAGCTCCATCCAACTTTCTACCCACTATATAGAATTGCAGAAAGAAACCCTCTCATATTCTCCGCTCCTTCATTTATAAACAATCTCTGTGTGTCTGCTTGTTCAACGGAGGGGGGTGGGAATCACACTTCCTACTCACAAAGGTAACATTCATTAAACCATATATGTAATAAGGAATTGGCCTGTCAACCGAGAGAAATAGCCGGTAAACATTTTTGTAACAGTTACTCTCTTTACAGTTTTCCACACATTTTACCACACTTTTCTCCTGCTTCTGGTACCAAAGAATATTTACTTATTTAGTAGTGTCTTTTAAAGTAAAATCAGACATTTTCTTTTATAGTAACTAACAATTATTATTTGTTGTTTGCTTTGTTGGTCAGGTACACCTACCTATTGACACAGCAGAATCTGGCATCCACCCCATCTATTTTTGCAGTGCTCACTACATTGAGATGTTGCTGAAGGCTGAGTTGCCACTTGTCTTTTCAGCTTTCCACATGTCTGGTTTCACTCCATCACAGGTAATTTACAAAAGCATATTAAAGCATTGTTAAATGTTTGACTTAAATCCACAAAATCAAAGATATTCAGAAAAGGTTGAAGCTACTATAGCTCAGCTACATAACAAGCTATAAAACCCAGCCACAATAAAACGACTAAAGAATAAAGTTTTAGTCTTCAGCCACACAAAGTAAATTGTTATGAAAAGCAGGTAACTATTCATTTTGTAGGTTTTTTTAATATAGATTTTTATGTTTAGGACTAAAAGTACACAGTTAAAACATTTTAAAATGGAAAACAGTTGACTTCAATGGAACTTCAGCTGAGGAGCTGCCCCTTCCTGTTTTATGCAAAAACTTAACCAAAATGTGCTGGATTTTTTAATGGAATCATAAGGGGTAAAAATATTTCAGTGGAACGGTCATTTCCAGTAGGGTCTTAAATTCCGTAGTACATTTGTATGATGTCTGGTATAAGACAGGTCAGCTTATATTGGAGTTAAAGTTCCTGATATCACAACCAATCATTTCAATTAGGTGAAAAAGCAAACCCAAATCCATATATTAATGTAATACTAAGGCTGAGATATGACTCAAACACAGCAACCGTAGGTCCTCTCGTGCTTTGAAGATGTAAAGTTCAATGTAAGTGCTGTTGCTTCTAGAGATTTACTCAAGGCTATGGATGAACAAACACCCAGGCTCTTCTTCGCCCTGGGCTTAACCCGTTAAAAAGGTCATTTTGTGCCAAGACTTGGGGGCCCAAGTGTGTACTTTATGGGAATGGGTGTGGATGTGATGCAAGAATTGATTAAAAGAGAGAAAACATGAACTCATCAAGATTTACAATGTCTGAATTTTGATTCTACTTCCTTATGTGTACTGCTCAGTCTTACCCATAAAGGATAAAATTTAAAATATAAGAAAAAGCTGCCTTTCAAAGTGAAAGGAACGGGCTATATTTTTTAAAATAAGAAAGGGGAGGAAGTGTAATAGCACAGGGCATCAGTTCACACATGACCTAATCCAGCTGTCATTGAAGTCAATTGTCCTTGTCCAGTTTAGGATTAAAAATATGTTGTTAGTACCTGTTAATGAACATATCCTTACAACACACCTTTTCTCCTCCTTTAGACGAGCATAGTGAGCAGGATCTGGTCCCAGTAAAGGCTAATTGCCTGAGTTTCAGAGATGCTGAGCATTCCCAACTCCCACTGGATTCTAGTTCCTACAGGACAGATGTTCTTATCACAAAAAAGCTCACATGAAGGGAATGAATGTCGTGTATTAAAGCATTGGACTGGGATTCAGGAGATCTGGGCTCTTTTCCCATCTGTCCCAAAGCCTCCTTGTGCAATCTTGAGCAAGTCACTTTAAGGCCTCATTATCAAAGGTGTTGAGATCAAGAATTCCCAAGTCAATGAGAGTTGTTGCTGCTCAACTCATCTGAAAATCAGTTCCTTAATTTCTTTATTCTTCAGTTCCCCATCTGTTAAGTGGAGGTAGTAATATTTCCCTACCTCCACAGGGGTGTTATGTGGATAAAAGCATTGTACGTGAGGTGTTGAAATACTACAGCGATGAGCAGTTGAGCAACCTACTAACTAAATAAATCAATATTGGCATTAACATCCTTATTGGAAGTCTCAGTGATGTTAAAGACTGAATGAACATGGAGATTGAACTAGCCTCCATGCAGTCCCTCCAGGGTCAGGGCTGAGGCATATTGGTGGGGCAGTGTGGAGAAAGCTACTGCACAAGCAGCAATAATGCAGGCTATTGAGTGGAATAGAGGCTTTCCCTCCAGGAATATCACTCTCACAAACACTGCACTTACTTTTAAAAATAAATAATCTGTCTTTACAAAAATATATAAGATAACTTGTATGCCAAGTTTTATCACACATGGTAATACCCACAGCAAGAATAAGTTTTTAATGGAAACACGTAAAATGGACACTACTGTAATAAGCACACATCCTCTGGCTACATTATTGTGTTATTTTATTGCAAAAAATAATGCTTCAATTAACTATGAAAGCAACTTTAACATATATAAATGTCAGTGAATAGGAATACACAATGGAATGCAATCTCATTCCAAAGCATAGCCATTGTAATCTAATTAGAAACACAGTACTTTCTGCTGCTGCATATTTTTAAACACTTAGGGACTGATTAACAAAGGATTTGTGGTCTAGAGCTAAATGAAGTGTGCTATACACAAGGGATTAAGCAACAAATTGTGATTTAGAAATGGAAAAACCAAGAGCTGCTAAAGCCCGCGTCTTCCATACCATTCAATTAAATCCAAAGGTGCCTCAGGGAAGGACCTACCATTCATTTACAAGGCACAGAAATTCTTTAATTTAAAGGAAAACACACATTAAATACACCTTCAAAGACATCCATGCCATTTAAAAAAATCTTAAGAAAATTCAATACATAAAGAATAGTTTATTTTTTCTGTCATTAAACTTTGAAATTTGTGTTTCAACTTAAACAATTGCCTGTATAGATGTATATTACTGAAATACATGCATTGGGTTCTTCTATATAGCAGTGTCCATCAGGGTTGTACATGCATTATTTCAGGGCCATTGATATCAAATGAGGATCATGGTCCCTGCTGCACCTCGGTTCTTTTTAACCATCATAAGCAGTGAGGCCAAACTTCAAAGGTCACTTCGTGATCCTTTTTCAAAACCCCTTTTTCCTGTTAGCAGAACAATAGTTGTTAAGAAGAGAATACGTTTAGGACAATTAATCTGGAGGTTTTTTCACTTTTGGGGTAAATTTGTTTTGTTGGATTGACTTTGTTGGTTAGGACAGCACTGTTATGTATCACTTTTGCATTGTTCCAACCCAGACACTATTGAGACCAACATGTCTGAAGCCAGTAGCTGGCTTTGAATTATTTTTGATCTTATCCTTCTCTGACCACCTCCTGGAGAGTCACTTGTTCTTTTTAAACTGCCAAGAGTTGTGAGCCATATGGGAAGTTCTCAAAGGAGGAAAACAGTTACTGACCTTAGTGTGCTAACTGCAGTTCTTTGAGATGGTTGCCCATCGGAATTCAGACTCCCTGTGTACCTTCTTTAGAGCCTCAGGTGAGAGAGTCTTCAATACATGGGAATGACTAAAGGGCATTGGGAGCCACACCTCTTTTACAAAAACAACAAGGATTTTGTAGATATAGACTAACACGGCTACCCCCTGATACTTGACACCTCTTTTAAGCTCTTACATCCCAGTACAAAAGAAGAGTTTAAGACTGACACTGCTTGCTACAAACTTCTGGGTTTGTGCAGTAGAGGCACACTTTTCTTAAGAGTGGGGATCTACACAGGCCTCTCTTCAAGAACCACAGTTACTATGGTAAATAATATTTTTTATTCAATATACCAACCACGTAGTGTATCATTTTTAAATGCATATATTAAGCTGGGGTTCTCTGCCTGTTAGTCATGACCACCAACTTATGGGTTGGGTAGGGGTTCTGCCTAGATCCTGGCTGGATGAGAAGTGGGCATGGGATGGTCTTGGTATGGAAAAGGGGTTTGTGGTATAGAAAAGTTATTAATTAATCACTGAATTACTGTAAGAAATTGAATTTGTTTTTGTATTTTTCTAGATTTGTCAGCAGTGGCTATCTCAGTGTTTCTGGAATTACTTGGACTGGAGTGAGATCTGTCACTACATTGCTACATGTATTTTCCTTGGTCCTGATTATCAGATCTATATGAGTATATCTGTGTTCAAACATCTTCAGCAAGATATTCTGCAGCACACACAGACCCAAGATCTACAGGTTTTTCTCAAAGTAATGTTTTTTTCTTTAGATACCAGATTAAAGGAAAGCTACACTTTCCAGACTGAAAAGAGATATTATTTTGCCAAACAACTGAATTTCCAGTATTGATTTTATTTTAGTCTCATTCATTTCTCTCTCTCTCCCCCTCTCTCTCATGTCTGTTTTCCATGAAGAACAAAGGGCCTTCACCACTACCTGCTATCCTTGCTGATCTCCTGCTGCATTCTTAGCTTGTTCACATGTCATTCTGATAGCTTTCAGTTCTGTTTCTTTTGTGCATTTTCATGTTATCCTTCGTCTACATCATTGTCTCTTGCCCTGGGAATTCCAGTCCAAGGCCTCTACTGCTATGTTATTCAGGTCTTTCCTCCATCTGTGTCAGGGGCAGGCAAATTTTTTGGCTTGAGGGCCGCATCGGGTTTTGTAAATTGTATGGAGGACCGGTTAGGGGAGGGGTCATGGCCTGGCCCACACCTCCTATCTGCCCCCCCCTGCCCCCCCGGGACCCCTGCCCCATCCATACACCCCTGCTCCCTGTCCCCTGACTGCTCCCAGACCCCTGCTGTCCCATCCAATCCCTCCTCTCATTCCTGACGCCCCCCCCAAGACCCCTGCCCCATCCAACCACCCCTTCTCCCTGTCCCCTGACTGCCCCCAGAGCCCCTGCCCCTGACTGCCCCCTGCCGCCCCATCCAACCCCCCCTCCTTCCTGACTGCCCCCTGGAACCCCTGCCCCCATTCAACCCCCTATTTTTCCCCTGACTGCCATCCACACCCACACCACCTGACCACCACCCCGATCTCCCCTGCTCTCTATCCAACCCCCCTGGTCCCTGTCCCCTTACCGTGCTGCCTGGAGCACCGGTGGCTGGTGGTGCTACAGCTGCGCCGCCTGGCTGGAGCCGGGCCACACTGCCGCCACCGCCACCACATAGCACAGAACACTGGGTCAGGCTGGGCTCTGCAGCTGTGCTGCCCCAGGCGCTCACAGACCTGCCGCCCAGAGCATTGCGCCGGCGGTGGAGCAAGCACGCTAAGGCTGCGGGGGAGGGAGAACAGCGGGGGAGGGGCCGGGGGCTAGCCTCCCAGGCCAGGAACTCGGGGGCCGGGCAGGACAGTCCCGTAGGCCGTAGTTTGCCCACCGCTGATCTATGTCCTAGTCAACTCAATTGTTTTTATGTAATTTGCTTTCCTATTGGTTTCTATTTCGTCATTCTCCAGAGTTGTTTATTTGTGACTTTTTTCTAGCCATCTGATATTGAAAATTTGTCTAAGGCAGCTGTTAATGAAAACTTGGAATTTAAATTATATGGTCATAATAGGTCTCCAAGTTTCGGTGCCACATAGTAAGACCAACTGTATAGTGGTGTTATATATTCAAAGTTTAGTTTGGATGGAAAGATTTCTGTTTCTCCAGATTGGCTTTAGAGTTACAAACATGTCTGGCTTTTACTCTTCTGGTTTTAAAGTCTTCATCTGTTCCACCCATTGTATTTACAGTGTTGCCAAGATATTTGAAATAGCAGGCTTCTTCTTTGTCAGTCTCTGAAATTTCTGTTGGTGTTCCGTGTTGTGTGTTGATTCTCATGGTTTTAGTTTTCTTGGTGTTGATTTTTCAACCTTACTAACTCTGCAGAGGCCTGGCGGTCATACATTGGAGCTTTCATGTCTCTGTGAGTATGGTATAGCAAGTTGATGTAATCTGCAAAGTCAAGCTCCTGTTAACTTGTGTTGCAGTCCATTGTCTGACCCTGTGGTCTTTCTCATTACCCAATCCCCTACCAGTAAAAAAGATCATAGGTGATATAAGACATTCTTGTCTGACACCTATAGTAATCTTGAATGATTTAATCAGTTCACTGCTTTGTATTACTTAGCACGTCATATTTTCATAGAAGCTCTGAATGATGTTCACATATTTCTGAGGGAAATTTCCATAATGGCACAACTACTTCCATAAAACAGTTTTATCCTCTATATGGCTTTTGGGACATCTATAAAATCAATATAAAGTGGTAAATGCCATTTGATCAACAGTTCTATGATGACACATTGGGTTACTATTTGATCTATACATGATTTCTCTTGTTTGAACAATACCTTTTCTTGTTGAAATTGTGACCCTACCACTTCCTTTATTCTATCTAGAATAATAGCTTTAAATACCTTACTTGGAATAGAAAGCAATTGAATGCCCCTCCAGTTTTTACCCTTGCTGAAGTCTCATTTCTTTGGAAGCTTCACTATATGACCCTTTTTTCACTTGTCATTCACTTATACTGTAGTTGTATTTCTTCATCAAGCAGGGCAAAAAAGTATAGTGTTCTCCAGAGAAAAGTACTGATACATATAGGCCTTTTCCAGCTCCTATTGGAATCAGTGGAAAATTCCTATTGACTCCAATGGGAAGTGGATTGGACTCTAACTCCCTCTGTATGTACGTGGCTTCCATTCAGAATTAGGTGTGTTTCAGAGGTGTAGAGTTATGCAGTATCCTCCTACTGAAGCTTGAAAACATTTGAATCACAACGTTTTCCCTTCAGATGATTGTTATTTTGATAGCTGCCTCTTTAGAAGGACTTTTCAAGGTTTGCTCATTTATATTATTGTAGGCTTATAGTTAGCGTTCCTCCTGCCATGAATATCACCTGGATGGATTATAAAGCCTGGGAGGGAAACTGTCTTTTCCATAAAATCTTAAGATATTTTATACCAAACCTTGAACAGCTGCCAAGATGATCTCTACCCTTCATTCATTTCCACAAATATTGTTTGTACAGCATGCCACCAGTTTAAGATTTGGAGAAAGAAGGTGAATTGAGAATTTGAAATCTAATTTAAAATATTAAAATATAGATTTTGATTTATTTCATAGATTTGTAGATTTGATAAACAAAGTTGCACATTACTTGCAATGGGTAGTTTTCCTCTTAGTTCACAGGTAATATTGACCGGTTCAAGATGAGTTTGGCTATGTCTGTGAAAGCAGTTATAGAACAGGAACAAGACAAACATACCATCCTGGCTGAGTTTCATTCAGGTTTTTTTTTTTAATAGTGGTTTTAGATGTTCTAAAGAATCTGCAAACTATGACCTATGGCAGTCAACCCCCTTATTCAACCTCCATGTTCTCTTTGTTAATGCTTCACTTTTAGGAGGTGAAGGTGCCAGCTTCCTCTAAACAAAGTAATGGTTTGAGCCCTTGTTCAAGAAGTCATTATTCAAAGTTAATAGCGGCACCAATCACTATTCTGTTCTGGACTTTCCCTTTTCTCCACTGGTATCATTGGTCATTGATTTCCTCCTTCTGGGGATGGACAAAGATCAGGTTTCTATGTTGACACTGCAATATTCCAGATGGTGGTGAGCTTTAATGATTAGCATCATTAGAGAACCACTGCCATGACAAACATAAAAAGCACAAAACTTGTATACCATGCTGATGGAGAAGCAAGCAGCATATTTTGATTTAGAAACACATATGGTGAATGTTTCCTGTTTATTATTGTGAAAATATAGATCAAAATAGTTGAACAAAATGCTCTGCTTCCCAATCAAAATAACCAGTACATTGGCAAGACACCTGAAAAGACTAAGCATCAGCAGGTGGACTCAACAACCATCTGTACATTCACCAAGGAAATGAGCTTCAATGGAATCCCTGACCATGGAAGAAAGACTGTACTCCACTCCAGTAAAAATCAGGCTTTTGAAAAGCAAAGTACTTAATTAAAATACTTCAAGTAAATCCTGTGTATTATGTTAAAAAGAATTAATAATTTTAAAATAATCAGATTAATTTCCACGCAATCAGCAAGCTGTCAAATGATCCGATTTGCTAGCGAGGGAAGAGGGTGAACTTGGCTGACAGGGTGATGGAAAAGAAACAGGAGCAGCTGAAAGGTTCAGGGCTGCCCAGAGGATTCAGGGGGCTTGGGGCAAAGCAATTTCGGGGGACCCTTCCATAAAAAAAAGTTGCAATACTATAGTAACATGTATTTGGAAATGTAAAAAATAACCAGTGAAATACATTCAAAAATTAAATGTTAATAATTTGAAAATAGACCAAATACATTATTTAAAAACATTAAATGTTTTAATGGTATGTATTGCAATTACATAATGCTTCTTATGAAATCGTTTTTTTACAAATTGTTCTGAACATTAATTATACAGCTGCAATTTTTTTCCTCGCTTTCATTTTGGTGAACTCATTAATAATGTCGTCAAAACTTATGTCTTTGGCCATTTCATATTCTATGCTCAAGGAGAGCAAATGGTTCAGCCTTTCTTCCCCGGTGGCTGAACGCAAAGGATTTTTAATCAATGTTAGCTTACTAAATGCATGCTCTCCTGATGCTACCGACACTGGCAACACTGTTAGTAGGCATAAACAAATACAAATCTGTGGAAACACATT